GTACCTGTAGAAGAATATAAAAGTATATTAGATTTATGTCGTACTTTAGTGAGTGATGGCCACTTTTCAGGTCGTAGAACTACGTCTAAGATTTTCCAAAGTGGGTTTTATTGGCCCACTTTATTCAAAGACTCATTTGAATACTTCAAAACCTATAGTAAGTGTCAAGTGTCTATTTAACATCACCAAGCGAGATGCTATGCCTTTAAATTCGATTTTAGTAGTAGAATTCTTCAACATATGGGGCATTGACTTCATGGGCCCTTTCCTCCAAACTTTTGGATATGAATATATTCTCTTAGTTGTTGATTATGCATCTAAGTGGGAGTAATACCTACTCAAACCAATGACCATAAAGTAGTCATTGGATTTATTCAAAGTCATATTTTTTTCTTGATTTGGTTGCCCACAAGCCATCATCAATGATGTAGGGGAACATTTTACAGCTAACCAATTTTCTTCTCTCTTGAAGAAATATGGGGTGAAGCACAAATGACCACCCCATATCATCCTCAATCCAATGGGCAGGCAGAGGTATCCAATATAGAAATTAAATGTATCCTAGAAAAGACAATATGACCAAGTAGGAGGGACTGGTCTAGATGCTTAAATGATGTTCTTTGGGCATATAGTACTACCTATAAGACACTTCTTGTTATGTCCCCTTTTAGGCTAGTATTTGAGAAATCATGTCATCTCCTAGTTCAATTAGAACATAAGGCATATTAGGTTATCAAACAATTAAACCTAGAATTAACTCAGGCAAGTCAAAATAGGATATTACAATTAGAAGAGCTAGATGAACTCTGAAATGAGGCATATGAAATTCAAATATTTATAAAGCCGAAACTAAGACACTTTACGATCAACACTTCTCTTTGAATCAAAATGTTTGGCTTGACAATTCTAGGCTTCAGCTCTTTCTTGGAAAATTAAAATAAAGTAGAGATGGATCATATAATATAATCAATATAGAAGAACATGGCGCTATACTCATTGAAGACCCTAAGTCAGGCCAAGTTTTCAAGGTTAATGGCCAAAGACTCAAACCTTACTTTAAGTATGAACTTAAACCAAAAAGATAATATATTTTTGTGTAGTGATTTTGACAAATAATATCTATCTAGCTGATGATGGTAACTTTAGTGCTTATTGGGAGGTAACCTAGGTCATATTTGGTTTTCTTTTGTTTTGTTATGTTCTATTCTTATTTTACATATTTCAGCAGCTAACTATTAGTTAACGCAAAACTTATTTTTAGCCAAAACCTAATGTCGACAAGTTTATGATTACTGCTGTGACAATCTACATATAATCACCGATAGTAACCTCTCCTCTCCTATACCCCTCCATAATTTTTTTGTAATATTAGCATATTTGATACCATTGAGGACAATCTTGTCCTAGGTTGGGGATTTTAGAATGTTGCTCATATTTGATACCATTGATTTCAAAATGTTGCACTCTTTCAAAAATATTGCACACATGTTTGTAAACTCACAGATTTTCAAGATGTATATTTCCCACATCTTCAATATAAAAAAAAGGTCATTTTCACTATATGATTGTGTCAAACTGAGGTAGTAGAAATGATTTTGGACCTAACCATGTTAAGATAGTTGGCTAAATTAGTAGTAAGAAGAGAGATTGTTCATACCAAAATACTCTCGAGGTACATAGTAAGTTGCATGGAGTAGATCTTACATAATTACATTTCAAGTCTTGACTTTCATGATCTTCTTACTATGAGAGAATCTTGTTGAAAACTTGATTTGACTAAAGTCATAGAAACTCAATCAATGAAATTGTGATAAGAAGAGTGTTAAACCTTAGCATATTCTTGATAGATCATATTACATAGCAGAGTGAAAGGCCCAATTGCAGCACAAATATGAAATTTTCCACTTGTCTTGTGGAGGCTTTCCACATGCACGTTTAGGACAAGCTCAATAAGTTGCTAATCTGTTATCTCGGGTTTTCTACTTGTCCTGTAGTGGCTTTCCAAATACACATTTTAGACAATTAAAACACAAACTAGGAAAAGCTACCTGCAAGTCAAAAAACTAAAAAATCAGAAATTTCAATTAGAATGATGATGTAATAAATAAGAGGTGAGATAGAATCTTCAATTCATATGCTCGAAGATTGTAAATATAGGATGGAAGTTACTCGTGGGATGTAGATGAGCTTTCAATCTTGTAAGAGACAATGCTAGTTAAGGAAAAAAATTAGTTCTCTGAGTGAAATGAAGTGGAACTTATACTAGCATCTCAAGAAGTATTCAAATACAGAAATCTCAATTCAACTACAAAATCAAGCAAAGAAATTCAGAACATGGGAAGGTTCATCATTTTGAACATCAATTTTCGACATCATTAAATATTTATCAGTTGGCAACAGTCATGAAAATATGACATATTTTTTAGTCCCAAATCTATTCTAAAGTTTGTTACTAAGGGACTAGTAATGAGGTAAGTTCAAGGGTGTCATAAAGCCTCAATATTATATGATAGGATATGTATATTTGATTTCATTATAGTTTAAATGTCTTAATGAAAGTATACATTTGATGTGAACATGTTGTTTATGTGAATTTTATATTGTTTACTGAATTGCATACAAAAAGTATTAAATTCTATATATTTTATAACATGAATATTCAATTGAATCAAAAAGTTTTTTTTATGCAATGCTGGATATTTTAATAGATGGAAAAATTATATTTACATGTAGGAAAATTAGAAGAAGGGTAGCTTAAATTTTAAATGAATTCTTCATAATTTTTAATTGTTTCATAAGTTGACCAGCAAACCCATTAGAGCTGGCCTGCTATCAGGTCACATACTAGCCCATTCTAATGGGGGTATTTAAAGGGAGAGAGAGGAGAGAGAAAAGAGGGGAAGCACACACAATTGACAAAAATTAGGACTCACAAAGAGAAGATAGAGGAGGGTGATGAGCAGAAGAACAAGAAATCTCGACAATGACAACCACAACAACGATGGTAGTGACAACATCAATAGTGACGGTGAGTCCCATTCTATGAGATAGGTAGAGAAGGGGCTGAGCATGGCAGTGGTGGGACTCATGACAGCAACAACAATAGTGGTAACGACAATGGCAGTGGTTGTGAACTCTCATTTTACGTGATAGGCAAAGGAGGAGATGAGCATAAGGGCAGCGGCACTCATGACGGCGACAGTAGTAATGGTGGCGATAGTAGTAGTGACTACAAACTCTTATTTGGTGTGATAGGCAAAGGAAGAGATGAGCACGGCAATAGTGACAACAGGGATGACAATACACTCTCAATAGCAGCAACAACAACTACATTCTCATGCTTTAAATTTGATGTTTTAGTTTATGTACGTGTTTAATTCTGCATTTCTTTTTATTTACGAATCTTGCAAATAGTGGATTCTGTGAGATTTTCAACACTCACTGAATTTTAACACATTGGCTGTGTATTTTTTGCAATTTTTAATACAATCTAGGGTTCCCTCCCAAACGTAGACTAGCTACTGGCATAGGTGTTTTCACTTATTGTTTTCACAAATTTATCTTATTTCTCGTATCATTTTTTCTTTTGTTCCTCTGATTTTGAGTTTGTGAAAGATTTAGAAAAGTTTTTAGGTCTACTTTCCTCTTTCGTTCCTTTTTGTGTCTTTAACCTTATCCAAATATTTCATTGAAAATACTTGTGCATTGCATAATACCAAATTTTCCTTGTGGATCAACCCAAATCTATTATGCATTATAAATAATTGAAAGCATAGTTTTCAGAGATTTAGTTTTAATAAATTTTAAAATTGATTACTTCTTAAAATAACAACTAGAATAACATTACTATGTCACAAGGACAAAACTATTTTTGGAATCATGACATGGCCTAAAACTTAGGATAAAATTATAAGAGATTAACATTGAAATAATTAATAAAATAAGATGCTGCCAAGAACTCACTAATATCTCAATAACATGACTCACTTTATAAGTTCAATCTAGAATAAAGGCTTCCTAAGTGAGTCATTTTAAGGGGACAGCATCTTCCCAAGTCCAAGATACAGCAAAAGCTCCCTAAAAATGTGTCAGGCTCTTTGACATGTTGTTCTGAGTTGGAAGAAATCTCATGCTAAACTAATTAGTGAAGTTGACATGAAGTTTATTCTGAATCCACAAAAACTTGTATGATTGAGTGATTGTTCCCATTAGGTCACCTTTTTATTTTCTCACAATATTCATTAAAATAATTTCTCGTCTCACTTGAACCTAAGGGTCATACTACCTATGCAATGTCCAAGCTACTAGGCTAAATGCGGCATGGTCTTCCAATAAATCAGTATCACCAGTGTTGGCATTCCTATCTCATTTTGTTTTTTGCTCTGCCAACCCTCTTCCTGTGGAAGTAGAAAGACCTTAATTCCTCTCTCTCTCTCTCTCTCTCTCTCTCTCTCTCTCTCTCTCTCTCTCTCTCTCTAATGTGATAGGATTGCATATTATATTTTATGCTTACTTTTAATTGCATAACCAGCATATGTCTATTATAAGTAAATCATGGTGACACAATTGCAAGTAATCATGTGCCTATTGTTCTTGATGGAGTTATACAGATCATTAAATTCATGATTACGTAATAGTGTTGTTTGGTGAGGGGTATACAATCTTATAAATAATCCTAACACTTTTAAAGCAGACGCTAATATACTTATTTAATTGACCATATGATAGGACTAGCTATACATTAATTATTAATATATTAAGTTAGTCTAAAGACTTAAGGACAGAATGTACACCATCCGATCCAACTTTCTATATGACCCATAAATGTTTAAGAAATGCTTTTGATATGCCGCCATGGTGGATGCCAACAATGGCCATAGTGGGCTAGTGTCCCACGAAAGCTAGTGAAGAAGGAGAACAGGGTGGAGGAGGTGAGTGGGATTGAGAGAACGAGATCATGGGTGGAAAGTCTACACATATGAAAGAGTCTAAGAAGGAAGATGCCATCCGCATCAATCCCAAGATCGGGGTTTCCGGATTTAAGGCCAGTTCCTACTCCACTTTGGGACTTACGTACCATGTTCATTGGTTACCCAAGCCATATTCACCATTAATTTCCCTGAATTATCAAAGTTGTCTTGTGAAGGGCCTACAATAGTGAGCATACGTCTATTTGGTGTATACGCAGTCACGTGCCTTAATGCCAATTAAAAATAAACTTAATATCTATAAAGCTTTAGAAGTACAACGGAGATGAATCGGTGTGTCTCGGAAAGAGGCCCGCTTAAAATTACGAATCGTCCAGTATGTATAAGTATCCCCGAAGAGTATGGCCTTCTTTATTTTTATTCGTCTAACATGAAAATAGGGATTGACTTCGTCGAATGCCTCCCAAACGCGGCACTGCCAACCGTAGTGGGAGACAATTGGTGGGAGGTCAATAAAAAATCTTAGCTACGCAGCTGGCTTTGGTTGTTATCTAACGCTAACTATTAATTTTAAATCCACATTCAGTTGGGAAGATGCGTTGCTCTCCTGGGGGGCTTGGGGGGGGGCGAGGGCATTTTATTGGATAAGTCAAAGCACCGCGAATAAATGCATACAGCTGCTCCCTCTCGAGATTTGGAGCTTCTTCTGGTTAAGACATTTTGATAATGGGAAGGAGGGTAACGACGGAGGAGGAGGAGAAGGTGAAGGCTTTCAGGTCAACCCACTCAAGTAAGATACGCCGGTGGTCGGCAACCATTTATCGCCGACGATGAAGTTGGCGACGGTGAAGTTGAGGGCGTCAGTGGCGTTTATGACGCGCAAACCCGGCCACTTCACCCTGCCGGTCGTCCCGGCTCCAGGGCCGGTGTTCCTAAACTCGGCGTAGAAGAGCGTGCTGAGGGCGAAGTCGCCGTCCCACGGCAGCCACCCCGCCGGGTTGATCAGCTGGTCCAAGAACGACTGCATGACGATGGTGCGAGAGTAGAGCTTCCACGGCCTGCCAAGGTAGGTCTTGGCGTTGCTTCCACTCTTCGCCAAATCCGGGGCGGCCAGGATCCTGCATCCCTGAATGGAGGTCCCGGTGTTCTGATTCGGGTCCGTCCTGCCCTGGGCGGTGACCATGTTTTTCTGGCCCGTCAACGGCAGTCTGGCGTAGAGGTTGCAGGCCTGGAAAACCACGGCAGCGTTGCCGAAGATGAAGTCCACCGTGCCGTAGATGTCGCACTGGCGGTAGAACTGGCGGAGGGAGTGGGTGTAGAGGGTATCCTGGTACCCCTCAAAGCTGCACCTGTGGAACGTCGACTGGTCCGCCCCGTTACGGACCGCCACCGCCTGATGCTTGGCCGCCCCCGCCGTGTTCCTGAAGGTGATGTTTATGGCCACGAACCCTTGGCCAAGCACCGCTGCCAGGATTTTCGGATGTTTTATATAGCTCATAAATCAAAACAAGAACCAACAACAGATTTTGTTTTTTAATGTGACATGAAATCTAAGGTAACCGACGGCAAAATGCGGTCAACGTACCGAAAGTCGCAGAGTTGAAGGTCGTCCAGCCGTCAACGACGTTCCGCTTCCCCGTGATGATCGTCCGGTTGATCCCGTCGCCGACCATCATCAGATACTTCTTGTTCTTGGGCACATCAACGTACTCCTCATAGACGCCGGCGACTATGTAGATGAGAAAGTAGCCGCTCTTGACGTCGGTATTGTCGGGCGCCGATTTGACAGCGTCGCCGATGGTGGTGAAGTTGCGGTTCTTGCCTTTGCTGACGATGACGACGTCGCGCACGAGGATCTGGTTCGAGGAAGGGGCCTGCAAGAGCCGCCGACCGGTTGCCCACTCGAAGATCTCGCGATTGCGGCGCGACATGGTCAGCGGGAGACGGCCGTCCTCACCACTGTTGGCATCATCGAACAATAGCACCCTCCTCATCGAAAACTCGGCCCCGCGGACGAAGCCACGGCCGACGTTTGATTTCTTATTCTTACCGTGGACCCAGGCGCGGGAGAAGAGCGCCAGGGAGAGGCTGAAGAGCTTAGTGTCGTTGGAGAGCGGCACCGACAGGCCGTTCATGAGGTTCCACTCCGAAGAGGCCAGCTTGAGGCCGTCGAGGCAGGTCTGCTGATTGGTGAGCAGCGCACTGAGCAGGGTCTGCGCCCGCTCGGCCTGCGGGTCGAGAAGGTTGTTGCTGACGTTGAGCGCCTCCGCGGTGCTCGAGAGGAAGTCAATGTTGAGACCCGAGAGAAGCTCGCAGTCCTCCAGCGCCCTTACGGCTAGCTGCGAGAGAGAGGACCGTCTGGCGAGTTGCTTGTTGATCATCCTGGAAAACTTCCGCGCCTGGGAAAGTGAACGCGCGACGGAGAAGCGACCGTAGTCATAGAGGTTGCCCCATCGACCAAGGGGAAGCACGGACTTGCAGAAGTCGGGATAACGGGTGCCATTGCAGATGACGCCCGGGTCCGCCGGAGCCGCCGGGGTGACCTCAGCGCGCGACTGCTGTAGCAGGAGGAAGGAAAGGATGAATGGGAGAAGAACAAGGGCTTCAAACTTCATCGAGCCCATGTTCAAGAAAGACAAGGCTCAGAAACTCCGTCCCCTTCTCATCGAGCTCCTGTAAATACTCCGCCTATATATGAAACTAGACCGAAACCGCGTCGATCTGTCGGAAAGACCTCCCAAATGGCCCACTCAACTCTTCGCCAGTTGCACCACCACTTTAGTCAACCTGTTTACAATCGGAGTTGGGATTAGTACGGGTGAGAGGAGTCAGGTTCTCAACCCCAATCCGAATAGTCCCTGCCCCGGTTCATGCAAGGCGACCAACACAGCGCAGCCGTGGCCCGCCTCCGCCACTGCCGGCATGGAAATTGGCGACATTAAAGACGCACGTTGATTAGTTAGCACGTTCACACCTCGACCCCAATTTCTGACACCAAGTTCTCTTACCCATGAATCTTTTATTAGGTCAAATAGCCACAGGATCTGCTTGGGAGGGGGGTGGATGTTTTTGTTTCCATTTAAGATTCCTTCTTTGATGGATATCAATGCTCTTGCACAATCACGCGAAATAGTAACTTTAGTCGTTGAGAGAGCTGGTTATTTCCGAACCTACTGCACACACGCGTGTATTAAGAAGACCTCTCTCTCTCTCTCTCCTCTCTGGCAATGGACCGACAGATTCAGGAGAGCGTAACGCGTTGTCAAAAGTCAAAGGTCAGACAGAGAAGACGGTAGGCCGAATCGATGCCGCCCTCAAGAATCGATCTGGATGACCTAAAAGTTTGACACCACTGTCGCTGCCGCACCGTAGTCCGGTCAGATTTCTTTCTACGGTCAATTACTTTCAAATCAAACCAGAAATTTCTATGCTTTTTTCTTAAGACAGATTCTTATCGCGGCCTCTCTCTCTCTCTCTCTCTCTCTCTCTCTCCCCTTCCTCCCTCCCTCCCTCTCTGGGTCCGCGGTCGGAATGGGCCAGGCCGGGTCCGTTGATTCGTTTGCTACTGAATAATGACTACATAATGACGGCGTAAGGCCCTGTAGTGAACACCGTCGAGCAGCTAGAATGTGGCATCCACTCCACTGGCCATAGAAGAAAAACGGCAGCCGTACCGTCATGGAGAGAATGTGGGTGCAAGTCTGATGACAGGCAATGCCCTAAAACCATCTTCCCCTGGTGCCAGACCAGGGAAGGGGAGATGCCGTTGGTGGTTGAAAAGAGAGCAGGTAGGCACCGGGGCAGGTTCGGCGGCTGATTGCCAGCCGTCTGAGTCAAACGATGACGGAAACCTCTCGCCGGCCGGGGCAGAGTCTGTGGGTCGACTAATTTATTTGGCCGCCGGAGGGTGTTTTTCCACTGTTCATGACGGTTCGATCTGCCGCCGTTTGACGCCGCAGTAGCCAGATCGGACATCTGGATTTGGAGATATATGGGTAAGGATGAGAAGAGTTCCTTCATTAGCCATCCTCATCTCAGATTTTTAATGGCACCAGAAATGAATTACTGTTTTATCTTCGCCTTTGATGTGATGTCCCCCAAGTTTATTCGATAATTTATACTTGCACCATAAGATGATTATTCTTTCTTTTTTTCGCTAGTCTTGTCCCTTGAATCATGTCAGTCAGATGCCAGCTTTTACATGCCAAGAGGTGGGGGACGAGATGTTCACGTCTCATTGATGTTTTTAGTGACTGCACTACAAGATAACCAGACTCCAAAGTCAATCCTATATGAGGTTTTCCTTGTGATGATCATCCTGGGATTAGCAAGAAGCCTGTGTCATGAACATTCTCCTCAGCTAAGAAACAAACAAGATAACACTCTTGGTTAATGTATAAGTGCGTGACTTCAGGATTGTACAGAAGCGAGTAGTTGAGATAGCTAGCTTCAAACCCTAATTTCGGGATGAAACTATGTCACAAAAGATCTAGACTCTCCCTGGACGTATGTTCATGAAGACCTACCGTGGGTTCTTCAAGATTCGGGCTCGTCATTTCTTGACTGTGTTCTTGGATCGGACTGGCATACCTACTGTGTTAAGACGCATCTTAAAACTTTGGTGACTGGTTGGTCCCCTTGGAAAGCGAACATTGGACGGTCCTGTGATGTGACTCCCTATATGAGCACTAAGCTAGCTCGTTCTGATAATTAAGGGTATCTGACAATTACTTCTCAACTGGATTATATGTTGGCATAGACCACTTGGATCCTAAATGGCTCTCTTCAGTGAGCCCCATGAGTCTAATACCCACAGATTATCGTACCAAATACTTTGGAGATTCCATAATGAAAACAGAAGCACATGCTCAACACCCTGCACATGCAAAATTTGGGGATTTTATGATGAATATGGTATCCTTTAGCCGTGTAGAATGTCAATTTCATTAACTGAAGATTCCAGAATCCAAGGGAAGATCTGGTTTGCCAAAGACAGGTTAGCCCCTCTATGATCTGACCATCCTTGAAAGATAGAGCTACATTTTCATTTAATGAATGAGCAAGGCCATGCAAAGAAAATACAAAAAAATTAACATGAAAGAGCTTATAGGCAAAAATCTCATAAATTATACAACTCTATTTGTATGGCTTTAAACACGTTATTTAAAAACATTTAAGGTTTTTTTAGTTGTAGCTCTCTACAAACAAGAAGAACATATGATTAGCTACTTTATTTTTTTTAGGTGAATTTTTTTCTCTAAAAAAACCACTATACCATGTTTTGGTCCATCAATTTAGCATAGTCATATTTAACTAACAAATGTTATAGAAAATGACTAAGTTCCATTGTGAGTATATTTTTTCAATGTTAATTCTACTAGTGAATCATAATTATTGAGATATGGCCATACAATCTCTCCCCTCCCTCCAAGGAGATGGTGTCACATGGGTATTCCCTAACTGCAGATTATTTACCCATGTGATAGCATTGAGTATCATCATCAATGCTCAACCATCCTCACTCTTCTCTCTTTAACAATGGGCTATAGTATCACACACAAGGGGGATTGCACATTCTCAACTCAAAAGAGATACATGAGATGTGGGATGACTTGTCTATGCAATCAAATGGAGGTATGCCCCTTTTACAAGTAGAGCACAATCACTTGAAAGGTCACACAACATTTCATCTTTAGATATTTGACAATTTGCCTCCTTTGTAGTCCATGTTCCTCTTTATTTAGCTCCTCACCTCCTTGACTATTCATCTTCTAAGTCAATCGATGTTCTATCGCTCCAACAGTCCAATTTCCTCATCAAGTATCACATTTCCTCTCTAATGGTCCAACTTATAATGTGCCAATGTCTAAGTCCATGTGCACACATGCCTATGCCCATGCCCATATTACCTCCATGACATTGATGTGGTATATCATGCAAAGGCTATTGAGGTTCACCCAAACCTCATAGTGTATTAGTAGAACTATCCACCCATCCTAAATAAGCATGTGAGACATACATACAAGCCTATGCAATTCACACGTGTATACTATGTTGTTGGGTATTATGTGCTATTTGTACAACACCTCCAAGCTTCACAACTACTTTTTGTGAATCTCACTCTGACTTAGTAGTAATATACGACTAAGTTATATGCATCCATGTGTGAGTTTTATAGAATTGTGTATGCCTACACCATATAGTTATGTGACTTTTGATAAGTTTTTATTATCTTGAGGTAATAATTAATTAATAATATATTTATATCTTAACTTATGATAAAGAGACATATATTTGTGTAAAATTATGAAAAAGAAGTTATAGTTGATTAATATGATTTTTTGGCTAATTATGTGAATTTATATAATTTTTAAAATCCTATTTTTGAGATAAATAAAGAAAAATATAGAAAAAATAGACTCCCCAACCTCTAGCCTACAAGCGAGTCAAAAGTATAGTCAGGTGGAGCCACAAGCAAAAGGCTCAAGTGGCTAAGGATAGATCAATAGGGGACATGTGAGTCTCTTTCCTTCTACGTCACTAGTGGCTAGTTGGGCATGAGGCAAAGAGTGGTCATATACACATGAGAGAAAGGTTCATTGATGATGAAATCTTATATTACTATATATCTATCTCTAAAATCGTAAAATAACTAATGTGAGACTAAACTACCTTCCTAAATATTTTTAATATTTTTAATACCTAAAATATTCCTTATTTATAAGAATGACATACCCTTATGTCACTTTATAAGAGTATTTATGTACTTACTTCACTCTCTCTCATGTATGTAGGTGATTGGCAAAGATTTGAATCCCACTAGAGCCAAAACTTATGTTTTTATCTAATTAAATCATGATTCTCCTACAAATTGATGGTAAACAATTAAACTATCATAATCACTCAATCATTAATGAAACTTTCATCAATGTGATTCATGAAATCTCATTACTAAAATTGTCAAATAATATAGATAAAAAGATCATAAATCTATTAAGTAAATTATCTCTGATAGATCGACAAACAAGTCATCATTGAGGAAAAGAACAATCCACTAAGAGATGAGTCACCACCTTCTAAGAGCAAACCAAATGCAATGAAGAGTCTCCTCTTGCTATATAGACCTGAGGATAAAACTCTTAAAGACATGCTCTACCTCCATCTAACTTATTTCCATTAGGTAATAGTCACTGAAGATCTACAAAGTCATTATTTTTTCACTCCATCGAGTAACAATTATCAGCATGACTTGTTAACCCACTTCATTAATTTCTAGACTTCATAAAAAAATTTAGAGATTGTCCACATCATTCATGTCCAAGAAAAGCCTTCTTGTAGATATTATTCAATAGTCTTCTCAAACACTCAAGATTCTAATGGATCATTGTCGCAACACTAGAACTTTATTTTATATTTTTTAACTAGTTTAACTTCTACCATCATTTTTTGGACTTCAAAAGGAAATCCAATAAATACTTAAATTGTCCATGTTTAAGGAGAACTTTTGAGATTGTAGACATCACACGATAATCAACTTAAACACAGAATTTTAGTGATCACTAATAAAATTTCAGTGATCACTATCAAAGACTGAAACTCTACATTTCCTACTTTCAACTTAATT